CCTCCTCCATGATTAAATGATCCATAATTAACAATCAATTATGACTGGAGCAGCTCCAGCGGTCTGTCGCTTTTGGTTGCGGTCCAAATGCCGTTGGCTGTCGAACAAGGGATGACCTCATAAGTCAGGTCTCAGAATGGACTGTGTTGAGTCTTGTACCCATACACGTTACTCTCATAACATCATAGATTATCTGAGCACTTCTGTATCTGTAACTGTTAAGTCTCAATATTTTGTGCTGCAATCCAATCTGGAAGCATTACTGGGGTATTGCAAATCCAGCATATGAGGTCCATTGATTGAAACATCACGGCAAGCTTGTTTTAACTTAACGTTAACCAGTCATCTAAAGACAGACTCCAAGACAGCTTGCAAAAAAACGCATTTTTTTTTAACAGTGGATGTAAGCCAGGTGTTAGTATTATTTAAGATGCTGGATTGAATTTAAATTGGCACAATCACGCTCGGGAGAAATAGGAAAGATGTAATGTATGCTCAGATGATATCATATGAATCAAGCCGCCTGTTGCACTGTACCGCATCCCGCGTCGTAAATCACGGCGGTCATTAAAGGGTAGCGCTGCAGGTCGTGCGAGTCACATTCCTCATTGTTCCGTAGTGCCGCACGTCACACATATCAGGCTAGTCATTATAAGAGGGCGGCCCTTCCCGGCATTAATCACCCCGGGCAGCCGAGTCGAGATTCCCTCTCGCTGAATTCGCCGTTTTCAGGTTTATCGCTGGAATGTGCGAGCGAACGACTCCAGCGTCTGAACGCGGCCGACGCTTTATAAACCCCCATCGCCCTCCCACTGACCCAGAAAAGCAACCAATGAGATCACAGGCCTTTTCAGGTTGGCCACCCTGACCCAATGTGCACACGGACACACATGAAGCCAGGAGCCTTTACGGATTGTTCCACAGAAGTGTCTAAATGCCTTGTTTGCCCCCACCCACCCACCCACTTTTTCCGTTTATGGTTTAATATTGAACCCCGCTCACATCATCACTCTTAATAGAGGTTCTGGCCAGGTTAAATGTTCTTGAGATTCACAATCGGCTTAGATTTCTCCCCAGAGATTTTGCCCTGTCTCCCCTGGGGGGGGGGGGGGGGGGGGGAGAATATAGCCAGGAGATGGCCCTCCATAAACACCTGTTGTCTTCACACACAACGAAGGACTGGGCGGGCAAGCCTGCCAGAATGCTTGTCATGCAGTTTGAGCTCCAGAACCAGAATCCTTTATTCACCAAGTACAAAAGCTACAAGGAATTTGTTTTTGTGTAGGTGTAGGTGTTTTTGTGTAGGTTTATTCACCTCCCCCCCAATATCCAGATGTGCTCACAATGCCCCCCCCAGTATATATATTTTATATCTAAATTACAGCCTTGGTTCCCCGAAATGTTGAGTCCATGGCTGCGGCCTTGGTATACAATGAAACATATAATCATGACAGAAGCATCACAAAAAACAAATAGAATTCGAAAAATGGAAATAAAAATGAGCAATTTATAAATAAGCAGGTAAACATATAAAGGTGAGATAACCATACATATAAGACAGCTTTGGGCGATGTGCAAATAAGCTTATGAAGTCAAAATAGCATACAATCGCGTTATTTCTTAGCAGCTGTTTTCGTACTTTAAGTACCTTTTATTATCAAACCTCTCCTATATTTTGGAGCCTTTTGGGTTAAGTGCCTCATCCGAGGCCGTTCTTCAGCCCGGAACCTGCGCCCCTTTCGTCTCGCGCGTCGGACCCTGAACCGCAGCCAGCTGTTCTGTTGCCGAACGGCAGCGCGCTTTCAAGAGTCCCTCCCCTGATGCCGCCAATAGCAGAAACGGCCCCGTTAGACCCCGAGGCAACGGTAGCCATGGGGACCGGAGTCTGTTGCCTGAAGAAAAGCAGCTGGTGAGGGGCATCAGTATTCCAGGAGAGACCTGGGCTGACCCACTTACGGGCTGCGCGGGTGAGACCTGGGCTGACCCACTTACGGGCTGCGCGGGTGAGGGGGTGTGTCCTGCCTCCATCCCGCCGTCTCCCTCAGGTACCCCGGCACACCTTGCGACGGGGAGCCTAAAGGTGTGTTAATTTCAGCTGCCATGATCATTTAAAAGATGAGGGCCAGCACACACAGACACACACCAGACACACACACACAGACTTGTTCTTCAATGAACGGCACATTTACACAATAAATCCTCTGGACAAGCTACAAAACCTAAACTCCGTCCTTACAAACGCGCTACACGACGGATAAGTAAACGTGAAATGAACGAGTCGAAGAACAAATCTCTTGACCCAAAAAACCCCAAACCCCACGAGGCAAATACAACTACCACACCTTTGGATTTTTATTCATCGTGCTCACCACTGTTCCCCAAAACTACATATTTTCTGCTACCTAGTACAATAGGGTATATCATATAAGAGAAAATATGATTCATGTCTTACTCTTTATTGTTTTTTTTTCTACATAAAGAATCACTATTTCCGCATCCATAGAGACCCCTACACATTTACTTCCCACGTTACGCTTATCCATCTCCACACCTAGCACCATAAATCTTTTTTTTTCTTCTTTTGGTTGCAGTTATTGTGTTAGATGTCTGAAAAATATTCGAGTGTTCTAACGCCCTCTCCATCCTCATGCCTCTGAGTCGTGGCAAAAGATTGGCATTGAGAAAGTTATTTCTGAGACCGTGAAAGCATCCGATTACCGCCAATTAAGTCCTCAGTTTATTTAGCCATTCTTGCAAAGCAGCCTTTGTTGTCATCGACCTGTAAACCCCGGACTCAACTGTGCGAATTAAACAAACATCCCGATTCACGAAGCGGTGACAGTTTGTTAAAAAATTAATTGCAATTTATCCATGAATGCGTATTGTATAACTACACAAATTAAATGATTCGGACTAAAAGCTTTATTCACAGTTGGCTATATGTTTGCGTGCTGCGGTAAAACAATTCTAGGCTCAAATTCGATTTAGCATTTTATTCATAGCGGAGTCATCAGAGAGCGACTTGAGCAAATGAATTGAGGCGCAGCCCTTTGTTCGGTGCGCTGAATGGAAAAGTGCGTGCGAAATAAAAATAATTGCTTTAAAAAGGGAAAAGATGACGTGACTGTATTTTGGTTATTTGTGGAAAACGTAAATACCGATAATGCCGAGGAATGAGCAATTTAGATTTTTAGATTTAGGCTAAATGTGACTGTCAGTCATGAAGTTGACGCGAGTTTCGTTTGGTTTTATGCATCTTGTCATGATGTAGTGCGATATTTAAATTATGCCTCCGATTTCAGCCAGTTGTGAAATTGGGGTGAAATTCTGGTGGAGTTTCTCAACCGAGCCGATTAAGTGATCAAGAATGTCATGGTCATGCTGTGCTCTGCATTTTATCATAGTTTGAGAAATATGGGGTCCATTTGGGTTTACTTGTCGCTCCACTAACTGGCTCGCTGGAGCTTCAGCCCATCCTAAGTCTTAAATGGTCATCGATTCCTCTTGCCATTTATTTACAAGACAGGTTGCCTCATCCGAAGCGATCTGCGCAGCTACTCGAGACGGACGACTATATGCGCTTTCCAGCTTGTTCAAATAACATCGGAGAAGTTCGCAGAGAGCCGAACATAGCCGAGTAACAGGTCCGTCAACGCTATACGCGCTGTTTTCACCCCGTCTTCTCGTTAATAAATCAGCGTCTTGTTTTGACCACCCAACGGATCGATGATGAGCTTAACGCAGAAAACTCCTGAACTGTGTGCAACCCGAGATCTCATGTTAAAATCTGTGAGGGAAGACTCGCTTCTTCAACCCCCTTCCCCCTCAGTGAAACTCGAACCTAGATATTTCAACAGGGATCCGTTCCTCGGGAGATAGAGGTGGATTGATTGTGTTTTAAACTGTAGCGGTATCGGTGAGCAGATGCCCGGGCTGAAGCACGAAGCCTTGCTCGGTGCCACCTGATAGCACAGCCAGGGCTCGACCCAGAGAAGACGCCGTCCCTGTTTATCTTGTACAGCGCGATAAAGTTGGAAGCAGGAAAGGGGAGGAGGGCTTGCCCGTTTCCGAAGGATACCGCTGCCTTCCGTCCTCTTATTCAATCAAACATCATACTATATAGACCTACCTTAACATCAAGACTATAGATATCGAGGTATGCATGTATACTGAAGGCCTGATGCCTCTCTTTCAAGGTGTCAAGGGATTGTCATGTTGAATGAGAGCATGCACATCAAATCCATTTGCAGTAGTTATATGACAAGTATTCTTAAGCGTCTCCCAAAACTTAAGTTAGTATCAGCGCAGTTTTTCCTGCATGGATCTATACACTGCACTGAAATCTTTACCCATGACTGTAAAGTTACATCCATCCGGCAATCTTACAGCTGCTTACCTGGTAAGGAACCAAGGGGCTCGATAAGTTATTCAAGTTAAGCCTATATTATTTTTACATGTAACCTGATGGGATTCTTATCCCATGACATCGAAATTAGTAGCTAATTTTAATTAGCCTATTGCACCACTCATCTGACTTCGCATAGACCTACCTGTATATTTCACATGCAGAACACAGATAGATGACCTTTACGTTTTGTTGGTCTGGTAAGACTTTAAATGGTTACAAACACGCTATTCCTTTAATAGAAGGGAAATATTTTGTGACAATACATTTGTCACTATTCTATATGCTGGGTGCTCTAAAGAGTAATATATAAACGATCTTAAGCAATGATCATAAACATTGATTTAAAGTTCCGCCCGTTTTGTTAGTGAATAATTTGTTGCAGCTACGAGGTTATGAGAATTTATGTCCCACTTCATGCTTTTCCTGTTCCCTGCTTCAAGCACCGAAGTAGTTTCGTGCTGGACGGAGGGGAGTCACCCTCCTTCACTCCTGTTTTTTTGCGATCAAACCAATCAGGCATCCCTATGATTTCAAGGCGAAGCGGCCAACCAGCGCTCCGCAGGCCGCGGGGGTGGGGGGGGGGGGACGGTCATTCAGCGCCAGTGTATGGTAGTAATGCCACTCCACAGATGTTGGGGCTGCCTGCTCGCTTCTTGTCAGTGCTGAGAGCGATCGGGCGAGCGCCGTGCATGCTGCATCCTGACACTTCTCCAAAAACTAAGACGCTTTCATTTGTCTCCACTAACAGCCGAGGATTTGCACGGTCGATCGGTGGGATTTTATGAAACTGGACGTGTGATTTTTTTCTTACTCTTCTCTCGGATTAGTGTCCCTTACTTAGGAAATGGCAAAGCGTGTACCTGGGAGAAGATCGGGAGTGGGGAAATGAGATTGGAAAGCGCAGCTGAATGACACGGGGGATGCGAGCGACCTGAAGAGCTTTAAGACGCATTTCTGCGACGTCGAGGCGTTTCGCTTGTTGCTTCTGCTCCAGACGAACGGGATTAATCCTTGAGGAGAGTCGCTTTCTCGTTTTCTTTTATTTTCCTTTCAACACAAGGATGTCTTGTGGATTCCTGATTGTCATTTTGTTGAAAACATTCATTGCTGTAGTTCTTGGCGGTAAGTAAGAAATCAAATAGACTTATTTTTTTTAAAGTATTTTATTTACATTATGTATTATTCTAGCATACTGGTGTTTGGTGGTTAATTGTGTGCATGTCACTTAAGGGATACATACAGCGCCGCATTGATTATAACTGTTTCACACACGGACAGTTGTCTGGGAAAAAAACACCTGGATTACCTGCTATCTCTGCGTCAAACTTTATAAATATCCGCCTTACCTTAGGATTATTTTGACAAAAAAATTGCAGTTAAGCTATGCATAACATGGTTGAAATGTTCAATAGATTTAACTATTTAATAGTTATTTAAATGCACACCGAAATGTAAAACATGGAGAAGTAAACAGGTATTAGTGTCAGAAGACTGACATACGAACGACGCAGACTAAGAAATAGAAAATTGCACTGAATCTTTTTTTTTATGTTGCGGTCGTAGAAGTGGCAAATAGGGGGTAACGGCTAGTATTCACTGTACTTGTAGTTTAATTGACAGTAGAAAATAATGCATTTTAGTTACTGGAACCTCTTTCCAGCCCCGCCATGGGAACGGCCGAGCAGCGCCCGTCTTTTCACTCGCGTCGTCCCAGCGATCGGAGGGGTCGCAGCCGCCTGCAGCATGATCTCGGGCGGGCTGTGCTGCGTCAGATCGCGGCTGTTATCTATCGCTTTCTCTCTCTCCCCCATCTGACCGTAATGGTCACCCTAAGCCCCCGTGTCCATCGGCCACCCCGGCCGTCTATCCCCCTCCAGTCACCCATCGGTGACAGGATACGCAAAGCGCGACATGACATCGTCTCTTTTACAAACAGACTTAAAAGTCAGCCCGCATAACTGGGTATAGAGGGACGGAGCGTCGCTTTACAATTGAAATCAATAGCGAAAATTATTTTTGCTTTTTCAGTGCATCAGCACACATTTATGCGAAGCAAAAAAAAAAAACAATCTAGGCTACGTAATATTATATTTTTAAGTATACACCAGTGTTTATTATTGATTCAGCAAGGCAGCTTGTTGCTATACCTAGTCAACAATAAGGGACGTAGCGGGGCAGTCATTACGGATGGGGCTCTGTATTTCAGCGGGACACGGATGTTTTGTTGAATGAGAGTAATCGTAGTAAAATGATAAAACTCTACGGAATGCAACTGACATTATTCCAGCTCTGATAAAGGTGTCTTCTAGAATAAAAGAGTCGTGTAAAAGGTTATAAACTGCTCTGTGTTATGTACATATACGCATGATTCTCTTACATTATTTGTTGCATTATATTGCATCACATTACATTTCATTTACATTTCCACTATTCTATAGCCGTATATAGTAGTTGTACGTGGTATTGAACAAGAAAAAATATACGATGAATGAAAATATATCGTAGCTTTCAAGTAATGAAAGTAAGTGGTGCTGTTCATTTTAACGTCTTGTTTCGTCTTATTTATTTGCAGATACATGCGGGGGAAACATCCAAATAACCAATGCAAGTTATCTTACTTCACCTGGCTACCCAACCTCATATGGACCATCTCAGAAATGCGAATGGGTGATCCAAGCTCCAGAGCCGTACCAGAAGATCTTAATCAATTTTAACCCTCATTTTGATCTCGAAGATAGAGATTGCAAGTAAGTACTGCGATTTTAAACTGAACTGCGCCACCTGCCGGCCATGAGGGTGTCCCGTTGCTGAATATCGCTCAAACAGCATATACAGTTTACCTTAATCTCCTATATTTTGGCCTGGTTTCCTTAATTAATGCACAAGTAGAATCAAGATTCTTCAGCAAAGAAGAATATAACGTTTATTTAATCTTTCATTTAGCCATTTTTTTTTAAACGTAGAGAAATATGGGGGATCACAGTTATGCTTAATCCTTCCGTGACTTTAACGAAGTTTGGGGACGCAAAGATCGTAACTTTTTGAGCGATATCTCTGGTTTCTGTTTGACCTGTTCGTGGTTTTGGCTCTGATATGGAAAAGCTTTGCTACTGTTGCAAAAAGCAAGTACATCTTTAATCTTCAGACGTGACTAAATGTACTACGAAGCAATCGTGACTATTTCATTGTCTAAGTGGGAATCATTGAATCCAATACTATTGGCATAAGCAGAGTTGGATGTTTGCCTTGGGGGGGCAAACAGCAGCATCTTGCTCACCTTACGTGTTAACACACGTTTCTGAAGTACACACAACTTAGTATTTTGTCTGTACCAACAAACTATAAACTGCTTATGCAAAGGTGCAGAGTTCCAGCACAGAACACGCGTAATGCTGGTCTGACCAATTAATTGCAATTTCGACTGCCTCCCAAAACTCCACCCATGATTATTGGCACTGTTTAAGTAACCCTCATCTGGTTTGGGCTGCTTAGTGCTTAAAGCTGAAGGTCTGGCCACTGGTTTGGTGGCATTCGCCCAATTCCAGGGGACTTGCCCTTCACCAGGAGTGAACACTCCAAATGTTTGCGCTGCTTACTTGGGTGACCTTGGGAGGAAGATAAGGCCGCACACTTAAACCAAACCATTCAAACCAGCCCACAGATGAAAACAGGACTTTTATTAGAACGTGATGTCATCCATCCATCTAACCCCTTATCCAGTACATGGTCACAAACCCTCCCATGAAGCACGGTGCACGAGTCCCCCACAAAGCACCATCGTACATGTAGGGATTTCAGAGACACCAGCTGGCCTAACTGCATGCTGTGGGCCCAGGGGAGAACATGCAAGCTTCACACACTAAGCAGAGGCGAGATTCGAACCCATAACTCCGGAAGTGTCAGGCAACTACGCTTTTGTAAGCTGCCTTTATTTAGAACAATTAGTCTGTTATTTTTCGGCCCGTCCAAGGAAAAAGAAAGTTCTGGAAATTTCTGGTCGAAGAGAAAATATTTTATTTTCTGTGGTACAGCAGCATTTAGGAGCTGTGTGGCTTTATGTCCAGTGACACAGCAGAATAGGCAAAAAAAATAAATAACTAGGCAAAACAAGCGTGTGACTGTTCTCTCGCCGCAGCAAGTTTGATAAAAGGCATATTCTAGCCAGATGAGGTTGATCTGGGACTCTTTTGCATTTCGGTGGCCCCTGTGGATTTTCCGGTAGCTTTTAGTGTCGGGACGTGTCTTGAAAAGCCAGCGGGCAGAAAGTACAGCGTGTTTAAGAGCGTCTCGGCGGGAGGAACAGCCAGTCATGCCGTCAATGGCCTGAGGTGTGGGGAGCTTAAATGAAGCCTTTGTGTGGGCGCCCTGGGCGCGGCGTCACAGTCGTGCCCAGCCGGGGCAGCCCAGGAGAGACAAAGCCGGCTCGCTCAGACTTTTGGTCACATGACCGCCGCTCAACCCCGAGCCGTAGATGCTGGAGTCCGTGCAGCGGAGCGGTATCTGCACGGTGCCTCTCGAGGGCTCAGCTGTCATTCGGGTTGGGGGGGGGGGGTCGAAGCAAATCTGTCTCTTCTATGCCAGCAGACCTCAAAAAAACCTCGGTGAGGTAGCAAAGGCGGTCACAGGAGGCCGCATCCTCTGGGCCGGGCCGGTGGATCTGGCGCGCCTCCCAGACTCTGTGCTCGCCGGAGCGCCGTGTGTTTCTGTCACACGCGCGTGGTGAAACTCCCCAAGGTGACCGGCGTGAAAGGACCTTTGAACAGTGGGAGCGCAGAAGGCTGCTTCGGGCCAGCTTGTCTCCATAACGGACAAGTCTGCGAGTCGGGGGGAGGCCAGCCGGGTTTCCATCCAATTCTGTTCCATGTATCTCTCACCTGCCATTTGCGGAGTATTTAATGCGTTTTTTTTTAAAATAGCACATTATTTGCCCTTGCGCTCACAGCTAGTGACTGATGCAGAATGAAAAGTCTCCGCCGTATCCTAACCCCGTCGTGAGAGTTTCTGAGAGTCTCGGCTAGCAGAATCCCCCCCCTTGGAGAAGGGGGGCTTTTTTTTTTCACCGTGGACAGCGAGTCTCTGTCCAGTGTTACCGCCTCACCTCAAAGGCATTTCCTCACAGGGGAGCGGCAGTCACGAGGCCGGCTGGGGGGGGGCGGGGGCGGGGGGGGGGTGGGTCACATGTGGAGCCCAGGGACAGAGTCGCTCTGGGTCGGCCGCTCGGACCTCAAGGAGTGACAGGGGTGGGGGGTAAGGGGGGGAGACAGCTGTAGGAGGCTGAAATGGGTGGGCTGTCCGGTGCGTGTTGAATGTCACGGGCTCCGTCTGCTCCTCTAAAAGTCCAGGTTCTTTCACTCTGTCCACAATGGGGATGTCAAGAGTTCCGCCTTGATCTGTGTTCGTCAGTCTGGCTGCTAAAGGTGGTGTGTCAGCATATTTAACATATAACAGAATCGCAGATGCCTTTTTTTTCCCCCAACGGAAACAACAATAATATCATTCCTTTGTCTCACGCTTGTCGTATTTGCGAGGAGTGCCTGATTTTTCGGTTGAGCGCCGGGACGCGCGCCTCAGATATGAGCTGGAGCGGTGGAGAAAATTAATCCTAATTACAATTAGCGAGCAAGGAGGGGAAGCTCAGCCCAGGATTTATTTGTGATTGCTTGCCTGCCCCCCCTCCCCCCCGACCATGCATGGCACAGAAAGAATGGCTTTAGCCGGCCTGCCCCCTTGGGGCCTGAATGCAGCGTGTCCGGACCCGCCAGAGCCGCTTAGTGCCACGCTGCGCTTCAGATGGACTTCACACTAAATCGATTTGTGGGCCTCGGACACGGGCCATGCGTCAGCGAGGAGGAGCGCGCCCCCCCCCCCCGTGCCCCCCCCCCTCCCCCAGGCCCGTGTGCTTCAGCTTTTCAGGAGTCCCCGAAAAGGAGGACAAAAGAGTCCTTCTGCAAAAGTCACCCCCTGCTTGTTTATGGAGTGTTCGCCGGGGACTGAGATCGGGGATTAGTTCTGTTACCTAAATCTGACGCAAATCTGCTTGTTTTTGGACTCATTGTCTGTGCTTCTTTCTTTGATGTCGGCCGCAGCCAAAACAGCTCAAAGGGGCTTTTAAAGGGGCGGTGCTGTTTCCAAACTCGGGGCTTTCCCCAGACTCTTCTACGGCTCTCCGCATCCCCTTGCTCCGTTCTCTTCTCGCTTTGCCACCTTGCTATTCCTTGAGGACCCTCGGCCGCACGGCGTCCCTGCTGGCACTGCTCGGGCTGACAGTAGCTTCACCGCACTCTCCCAAACACCCTGCCCCACACCATGTCACAGCTCCCCTGCCTCCTCACCCCCCCCGCACGCCCCGCCACCTGCTGTGGCCATTTTGGACGGGCTCTCTGAAGCCTCAGCTAACAACATGGCAGCCGTCTTGAGCACAGAGGACAGCTTGCCCTCAAGAAACTGGCAAGGAGCGGCAGTGTCACCGTGCCAACCGGCCCACCCCCGGCTTGGCATCCACGCGCTCCTTGTGCTTTTCCTAATTTCCAAGAAAACCAGAAAAAAAACACAGAGAGGGGAAAAACACAGTGAAAAATGTCACAGTAACATATAAGAGAGGGATGTCACAGAGCTACAGGACACCACCAGGAATGATGTGATCGGCATGGAAACGCCCCCTACTGGCAGCTAACAGTAGTAACAGTGCTGCTTGGCTGTGTCTGAGCTCATGTGACCTTATCAGGAGATTAAGGTGGGGGTGACTGAGAGCTACCCTTTGCCCTCAGTAGCAAATATAATCAAGCAGGTGGCTTTTTAAATCCCCTCCCCCCTGCAAGAGCCCCCATCGGCTATGCGACGCAGACACCGCAGTGGGTGTTTCACCGTGTCACTCTCCTATCCCACCCTCCTCATTCTTACCCCCCCTCCCCCCCCCGTCTACCTTTCCAGTAGGGATCCATTTAGCCCCCCCCCCCCAGGCCAGATTGATGGGACCGGACACGTGCCGGATGAGCCAGGAAGCGGCCGCGGTCATTAACTCTGGATGCCCCTGATGGCCGCATGGCCGCCTGTCCTGCGTGAGCGCGGGCCGCACGCATGCCTCATTAGCGCGTCCGCATTGCGCCGGGACCGAACGCACCGTCTGCCTCCAAGCCGAGCTGTTTTGTTTGGATACTCCCACCGCGCTTCATAAAAAAAAAAAAAAGCATGCATCATTTTGCTGATTATTAATCCCGCAGACTGAGTAAGCTGTTTTACGGCGATTTATTTACTTGGTGTTCATTATGATGTTTTATTTATTAACTCGCGGTTGTCCGGCTTGACCTGTGTCTGAACCTGCTGGTTCCGCGGCTTGATGACGATCCTCTTCGTGAGGATGGATTAAGTGTAGGTGGTCGGACCAGGCTTGGGGGGCTTATGGGGTCAACAATCCGTGTCACTGTTTGCAGATCCCTTCACCAGCACCTGATAACCGCCCCACACACACACACACACCGAAGCAGGTGCCTGTGGCATTTGCCCTCCTTGGTAATTATTTCCTAGTGACTTTTACTTAGGTTTGCTTTTTAACCCCCCCCCCCTTGCATGAACAGACTAAACATTCCATCCATTAAGTCATTTTGTATCTCGCTGCAAACATCCATCAGTCCATCCATCACTGCCCTGGGGAATATCTGTAAAAGGTTTCCGAAAAATAATGAGAGATTCCAGGGAATCATAAAGTCAGAACACTACATTTTGGCATCTGATGTCTGTTTGTTAAGCCAGTAGGATCACTTGTTTCAGGCTTATCTGGAGATTTGTGACATATTATCAGATTTGTGTACTGTGCTAACTTAATCAGATCCAATGCATCCTGTCATGTGACGGCCATAGTGGTTAAACCACCCAGAGTGAGATAAGCCATATATATTTTCCATAGTAAGACACATTTTCCTTCTCTCTGTATTTAATTCTACATCCCCATCGTTTTTTAGTTTAGTCCAGAGTTAAACAAGTGTCAGATTACAGTAACAATAACAGAAATATGCTAAGAAAACATTTAGACAACGTCAGGCGTAGCGCGAGTCCGTGATTCAGAGGCTGACATGCGTTCAAAACATTTCCAGAAGTGTGTGAAGTTTATAATCTCCATCATCTGGCTGCTCCCTGAATCAGACCTTTGTGTACCTTTCCCTTTCACAAAACAGCCCCCTCCAGTGTTATTGCTACTATTGGAAAGAAAAATGTACAGGAAGAAAAGAGGAAGGGAGATTTTGCAGCTGAGTGTAAAAAGAGTCCCAACTTTCTGCCAGGGCCCACGTAAGAACAGCAGTAAAGGAAGCCAATAAACAGCAGACGTTTCTCCTGGCTGGGCTGCAATGACCTCTAGGCTGCTCTGCGTTTAATGGTGCTGCGGAGTCACATCAAACTAAAAACGTTAGTGGTCTTGAAGCCTGGGGCCCGTTGCACACAGTGGGGGACAAGTCATGTGATCGTGTTCTTGCCAGCGGGAGGGAAGAGTGATAGACCTATCAGAGCACTTTATTGCGAGAGGAAAACAAACCAAAGCAGGCTTTGTAGTTGCATTTTCTCCCCACCTTTTTTTTGCCAACGCGAAACATTGACTTAGGAAATGTCTACAAGATCTTAGAGTTCCGAGTTTCGGTGACACATCAGTTTGTCTGTGTTTCCCAAAGAACGATTATTGTACATTCAAAGGGGAAGAACTTGGTCCTTGGTACGTAGCTCTTTCAGCAGAGTAATTAATCATTAACGTAACAGAAAAAGCCAGTCTAATCTATCACCCATCCTTAATCATTATCAATCACCAGAAAGCGTATGTTAAACTTCTGCCTGGTCGGGCCAGAATAGGACAGCTGAAATGTCTTGGAGAAAATGTATCCAAGTCTCATTCCACATTATCTCCGGCCTGGAGCCTGTCCCAGGTGTAGTTTGCCTGTGGGACTCTCTCTTCCCAGATTTACTAATGGGGTACAGAGCCAGAACCTGCGGAAGGAACCGCGACTCCAGTCATTGGGAAGTCTGTCCTATGTAAGCATCTGCGTTCATGGCCTGATGTCAGCAGCCTACAAGCGTAGGTGTCGAGAATATGTGCTAGGGACCGTGTTTACATCAGCCTACTCAGGCCACTTAGCGAAAACACTTAATAACCACACAGAACACTTGGCAAGATGTATTGACCAACAGCCTTGGGGTTAAAGGCATGACTGCTGGCCAGGTTCATTAGCGGAGAGAACATTACCTTTGGGGCATAGAAAATAGAAGTAAGTTGTGCAGTCATTCCTTTACGCCGCTTAGTCTCAGTCAGAGGCTTGGATTTTGTTACATTTCAAGGAGTCTGAGCCCTGCATAGACGATCGTTTGTTTAATTTGAATGTTTGTTTGGTCGGCTGATCTTGGCGTTTGTTTAACGCTACGAAGTTTCCCCGAGCTTGGCAGGCGGAGGAACATTCCACTGTGGAGCTTTAACCTCATTTACGGGCCGATACCATGTTCTCCGGAGAGCACGGTTAATTGTTTGAACTGCGTGTAGCGCTTCGGGGAGGACTGACCCGCAGGTGGCTGGTGGCACGACTCAGCGCCACGTCGGCGTGGTGATGAATCGTGGGAAGGTGGCAACTCGTGCCGTCAGCAGACGGTCGTACGGCCGCAGGGTGGCAGCCCGTGGAGGGAGTGCTGCTGATTGGTCGGTTTAATTGTGTTCGTAAGCGATCTTGCTATGTGTTGTGGACGAACTGAGCATATGTGGCCAGTTACATGCTAGACAATTCAGCCAGTGCTTAGAGATCCCGAGGCCGTTATGTCTACCCCAGTACATATATACCTGCCTTATCCGTTCTATACTTCTCCTTATGAGGGTATATGTGATACTCAAATGAGAATCTCATTAACTTATTATTAATCACCCTGGGCTTAGGCTTTTATAAGGTCTAACTTAATATGATGCGGATGAACATCCATTAATTCCTGTCTCATTAAAAATCTAACATCCTGGTTGCCATTTTCAGGTTCCTGCTGTTGAAGGATATCACGGCGCTTACGGGGTGCCCACAGTGTTTAGTGACGCGCCTGCCGCTTTAAGAGGAGAGGCCGCTGTTTGTTTGTCATCGTGATGGATGTCTGTCTAGTCGCATTAGCGAAGATGGGCCAGGAGATTGCAAGCCGTGCTGTGAGGCAGGGGGCGGCTTGGCCCTTCCCATTTTCCGCGGGAGAAGCGAGGGTGGGGCGTCCTCTCACGTCCTGCCCGCGTCCTGCCCGCGCGTGTCGGGGAGCACGAGGAAGCGGGAAGCCCTCAGTCCATATCGCAGACGTCATATGTAATTTTGCGGCGATTTGCACGATGGTGGTGCCCTTTACACTGTTTTCCCACAACTGGGAAAGGAAGCCCACAAGCAGAATATGCATGGAGCTGAGCTTCAGCGTTTATGTCTTTGCAGTTTTTACGAGTTTGGGCAAGGGGAGAGCACTGGAGTTCTGCTGCTAGAGAAGCGCAATAAACCCACAGGGAACATGCATGACCCCCCCCCCCCCAACACACACACACACACACACACACACACAGAGAGAACCAAAATCCAGTTTTTTTTGCAGGCCTGCGTGGTCGCTTCCGCAGATGCTCCTGAAAAGAGGGACTCCGGAGGGGGTCCGGAGGGATGCGAAGGCGAGAGAGGAGACGTTCCAAACAGTCAGCGGGGGCTCATTACAGCCCCCCCGCCGCCCCCCTCTGGCTCTTGCGTGACTGCAGGTCCACAGAGTAGTGCCGGCTGCCCTAATGCCGCCTCTCTCCGGCTCCCAGCCGCGTGACGATTTAACTCCGAGTGCGCTCATCTTTAATGCCATCATCGTCGTAATGATTGGCAGCTTGGTCGCTCGGGGGACGATGTCCCGTTTTGTCCCCATGTTCTGCATGCTGACCCCGCGGTCAGCGCTGTACAGCTTAGCAGAATCATCCTTCATTCAGTGAATCTATGGGTCCGCAGCAGTGAACTGCTGTCCCATCCAGGGTGAACCCAGCTTAGCACCATTAGGCAAATTAGGCAGCTGCCTAGGGCACCATATTCAGAGGGGGGCACTGACTTAGCAAGCCAATTTCAGCTCGCCTAGGGTGCCACATGGGCTAAGTACACTATGCTTTCATGAGAAGGTTCAGGATCAGCTTGACTCATAAGCGGTTATGCACAGCAGGTATGTGTGGTAGTCGTTTATCATTATCATTATCTCTAATATACATGATTCTTGAACTTCAGGCGTGTTCTTATGCAAAACGATTCCTGTCACCACACGTCTAGCCAAGGTATTTAATCATGACATTTAACACGGTAACAAGCTTAACTTGTGGGAACAAACGTTAGGCAATTGCGGACCTATCGACTTCTCCTGCCATGCGTATCCATCTAGGTCTTTGCAATGATCCAGGGTGCTACTCGCGGGTATGTCTCAGCTAATAAAAATGTCGACCGGTCCCCCATGATGTCATCCACCTGTGATGTCATCCGCCTGTGATGTCATCTGCCTGTGATGTCATCCGCCTGTGATGTCATCCTGCAGCTTACTCTCCTTTCTGGCTTGAGTCTGTGCCCACAGCCACCTCAGTCTTCAGTTATAAACCTTGGGCATTTCCTCTCTCCTGTACCATCCTCACCACGGCCAGTAACATTCCCCACATTTGCACATTAATTCAAGCCAGAAAGGGGAACGTTTTGCGAGGCACTGCCTTGGGAGCTTAAGCTTTCAGCGGGTGTCCCTTCACCACTTACCCCCTGTCCCCTGCCCCATCCCCACACTCCCCCAGCTGCCAGTTAACCTGAGAACCCATGAAACGTCTACAGCGAGCGCAGCTCATAATTTACTTTACCTTGAGGGGTGATGGAAATTGTTTTGACTGCAGTTTTACTGATGCAGTTATTATGTCTGTTGGTAATACTGTCACTAATGTTATTATGTCTATTAGGAATCTTGTTGCTGCTAACGTTGTTGTTTTCTCATCGCTCGTTATGTTGTTGTTTTACTTACGTTACATGCCTTAGGGCATCCATAGTAGCCATCAGCAGGTGCAGAACTAAGCAGTTTTCATATTTCACTCTGTCCATCACTATTCAATAACCAAGCTAACCTTCCGGAAAATAAACAAGCTACATTGAGCTATTAGAAGCTATTGCTCATATGTTGCTAGCATTTTGAACCTCTCAAGCGCTACCATCAAGATGTTAGCCATCGTTGTCTTTGTCTCCGTGTAAATGTTCAGATGTTGGGTGGAGCCAGACAAAGCCCCCCCATAATGAAGACCCCCCCGGTGTTGAAGGCCTTCACTGTCAGTCTGACTGTCCTGTCCCGGCTTTTCCAGGTATGACTACGTGGAGGTGCGCGACGGCACCGACGAGAACGCCAAGACCGGAAAGTTCTGCGGCAAGATCGCCCCCACCCCCATGATCTCGTCAGGGAACCAGCTCATCATCAAGTTCGTGTCCGACTACGAGACGCACGGGGCCGGATTCTCCATCCGCTACGAGGTCTACAAAACGGGTCAGTACACTGTCTCCCTCCCCCGGCACCCCCCCCCCCCCCCCCCCAACCCCGACAATAGCCTCAGCTGGACTCTATTACTATAAATATGGATTTATTTTTTTCTGTTACTTGTATTTATGTAGCTGGGAATTCACTGCGAGCATTTTCGGTTCACGTCTCAAGAGTGCAGGCAGGAACTTGTTCAGGAAGCAGTAATCTGTTGATTACGAACGCTGTAAATCTTGTGTAGGAGTCACAGCTAAACATTTTTATTTATTCCTCGTTCAGCTGTACATTTATATTTGTTGTGTGCCGTGAGACAAACGCTGTCAGCCGGCCACGCCAACCACCGGGGAGCGGGGGGCTTGTTTTGAAAGCACGGCTCGCATTGTTTAGCCGTGTGTTGTATATCACCTTGTAGTCGGCATGAGAATCCCACCCCCCTGCCGGATGATCGGGAGTGGGGGAGGGGCGGTTACGTGATGCCGTTGTCAGCTGCAGTCGAAGGCGACGGCGCAGTCGGGCACGGGAGGCTTTGTTTCTGAACGATATCTGCTGAACTGAAGCCAGGAGTGTCGCAGCCTTGGGGTCCTACGAATCCTCCCAGTTCCTACGGTCGGCGACTTCCATATTAGGCCGTTGCGGGATGGCTCCGCGACCCGCTACCTCCTCAGCGCCATCCAGCTGTGCGTATGCCAAAAGCGAAAAGGTCAGATCTGACGATAACAAGGCCGCCGTTCATGCTCCCAGCTTATACAGTCGCCTACACAGACCCCTTTAATCTAACGCGGCCCCCGAAACCTGGACATCTAACTAAGATTCTTGGCTAGTGTCTCTGCTATCAGTCTCCATCGTCCATCTCTACTTGCTCTGTACTTCCTGTTGCCTTCCTAGGCTGCAAATCATGTATTTACCCTCTTACATGTGACGAAGTACCGTGGGACAGACACTGGGAGTCCCCAATGCAGTGCCCTTCACAAGTCATTACAGGGAGAACCACGGATGGTTCCGAGTCTCTTAGAAGGAGCAGGGAAGCTTCTGTGCCAATGTGGGCGCAGACTATTTGAACAGTGACAGAGTTTCTCCAGACATCACTTCCGACGACGACGTTCCCGACACACTTCCATTACATGCAAGTTCTGCACAAGGCAACAGAGCCATGATCTCAAATTTCAGTCACGTAACGTATGACATTTTAAGAAGTCAACCAAGATGTTCCTCTGGAGGACGCCCACATTTACCATGTCTCTTTATCTAATTTTGCTGTGGTGTAGTTGACTGGCCAAGAACATATGTTCTAGGTCCTAAAACAAAAACACATCAAAGCCACAGCAAAGGACCGAAAAAGTTAGCAAAACCCGACACAGAGATCCTATTGAAAAGGGCCTTTGTCGGTTCACCATCGGCTACGGCTCTTAATGCCACTACTCACCTGCTGCCTTAAACAGCACCTGGGGCGATAATAGAGAGGGGGGAGGCTGGCCTTTCCCTCTCCTGCTTGGTTTATCTATTTATATGCCTGTTGTGCGTCTCCTTGGCTGTGTCACACGTCCGGGAAACATACGGGCCCAGCTAGCATCGTCACACACGCGTGCGTTTCCCAGAAACACGGTTGCTAGCTACCACGCAATTGAAAGGTTCCAACTATGTAAGGTGCTAAATTGGAGCTTTTGGGAAACGTTCCCCAGCTGGGCATCAGAGGAGCCTTTGCCACACACTGGACTGTTCCCGCAGTTTCTGGGCCCACTCTATAAGGATCGATGTCTGACATGCGCTACCTAGAGATTTATCACAATAGAACCGGAACAGTTTTACAAGAGAACCAGCACTTAAAAGCAGTGTCTGGTTACAGCCCCGCCGAACGTCCAGTGTGGATGCTCCGGTGCCGGGTGTGGTTCCACTGTTCTGTTCGGGATTTATCTGTCGAGCTTACCGTTCCCGATTTCCCTTTCTGGAGAAGTTTTACGTCTGTCGTTTCCTGAGCGCGTGGAGACGCCGCGTTGCGTTCCTGGAACAAAACTGGCCACGATCCAGTGAGAGAGGAAATTGAGAGGAAAGTAGGAGCTGAGAACTTTCTAGGGCATCTAACGGGAGACAGGGTGACGTTGATGTGACTTTTCAAAAATGGAAAAGTACGTGATCTCGTGTGATCAGCACATAGCGTTATGGTTGCGTGGAAGCTGCACCTGAAGATCACTAAAGTAAAAATGCCAAAAATATAAAATTTAATCATGAAGCAGGGTGACAGTGGACTGGGGCAGCTTGTCCCGGGCACTAAGCAGGGGACGCCCAGTATGGGGTGCTCATCACCGTGCATACACTCTAGGAGCAGGTTAAAGACATCGATTCACTTAACCACATGTTTTTGGATGGTGGGAGGAGATCGGAGCAAACAGGAGGCGACCGTGCAAACTCTGAACCCACAACCCCGGCATTGAAAGCAGCCCCTTTGTGTAGATTAAGTGTAAACTATCGATTTGGATAAAAGCACTTTAGGAAAAAGTGACTGCTGAATAGCAGAGATTAATTATCAGATAGAAAACATCAGCCAAGTGATGTGCGGAATTAAAAAGACATTGTGACAGATTACTCCCAAATGCGGCGGCTTTTTGCGAACAAAGTAACGTGCAGCGTTAAATGTCAGCCCATCCCATAGTCTACCCCGGAGCATTTGGTTGCCATTTATAAAAAGTTTGCCTCCTATCGTTAAAAAGCCCCCCCCCCAGGCAGTCAGCATTGCCCCTAACAGCGCAGAATCAAGGCTTGCTAAAAAAGACAAAAAAAAAACCACGTAAATAAGCCAGAAACCACATTCTGTGGCAGACCCAGCCCTCGGCATCATGGCTTCATTCCGAATGCTTCTGTACAGTCTCACCAAATGCCTGTCTTGCTTTTCCTGTGTATCCCAGCTGCTGCTATTAGCTCGAGCTTTTAAAGCGACGATCATGTTGTTGATTTGGAAAGCGGGGTTTGGGCGTGAACCGTGCGGCCGGACTGTACCCCCTGCCCCAACCGGCCCACTGAGATTCAGAAACTTAGAGGGGTGCGGTGACACTTCAGGCGGTGGGTTTGACCTCGGGGCTGTCATTTGTGGGTCCGTTATTGTGTGCTACCTGAGAGAGGGCCTTTATAATCTATTAGCCATGGAAACATGACAACAAGAGGGCGAGCGGTACAGAACTCTGGCCTGTAGCTGCCCTGTAGCTGCCCTGTAGCTGCCCTGTAGCTGCCCTGTAGCTGCCCTGTAGCTGCGTCCCTTCCCTCTCTGCATGGGCTCAGACTTCTGTCCCCAGGGGCTTGCAGGGGCCAGTAGACACGCTCCTCTGGGCAGCCTGGCCTGTCTCCCTCTGTGCAAAGCAGCCCAGACATGGCTCACAGATCCATTAGCCGGCCTTCTGGGAGCGCAGAGCCGGGCAATTGAGTGAATCATGGGTTCTGGGTCACCTGAGCCGAGCTGGGGAGGTTGGTCCATAAATTCATACCTTCAGAACAAACAGCTCGTTTGTGCCTGTTCCAAATTAACTACTGGGGATTTCGAGAAGCAACTGGAAGAGTACTTAAGTGTGTGTCCCCTCCCCCAAACAGGACCAGAATGTTCCAGGAACATCACCTCCACCAATGGAGTCATCACGTCCCCCGGGTTCCCCGAGAAGTACCCCCACAACCTGGACTGCACCTTCATGGTCTTCGCCCCTGACATGTCTGAGATCATCCTGGACTTTGAGAAGTTCGACATCGAGCTGGGGAATGCACCGCACTGCCAGTACGACCGCCTGGAAATCTGGGATGGTTTCCCTCAAGGTGAGACCCTGGGGGAGGGGGTGGGGGTTCTAGGATAGTGCTGGTGTTTGTGTAGCATCGAAACCGGGGAAAACTACAGAGGAACAGTTCCTTCACCGGACCAAACATTTCCTCGTGTTCGTAGTATAAAATCAGATAAAAGTGAAAGATCAAAGTAAAATAACCGCTCAAAGTGTCTGTGACGTGTATTGGGTCGTCTTACTCAGAGTGTGTCTGACATTGGTCATTGTTTGCGGCCTCTGAAGCCGCTCCGACGTCAAAGGGGAGAGATGCGTTGGGTAGCTTGCCTCGGCTTCCTGGCCTGAGCATTGTGTAAGGAGAATGACAGGAAGAGCTCGCTGGCAAGAATCTCCGGCCCAGAGCACTGGGCTTTATCTGGGCCGATTATGGCTTCCCTCAGCTGTCTGGATTCTGCCAAGGCAATTTGCACGGCAGGCTGCCCAATCCGACCCTTAGGATTTTTTTTTTTTGTAGGGAGTGGGGCTGGGAGGGGGGGGGGGGGTCGGCGCCCCCCACCACAAGATCGTCCCCGCTTTTGGCCGGGGTTTTTTTTTTTTTTTGGGGGGGGGGGGGGGGGGGGGGGGGGGGGGGG